CCATTAATTATTCGACAACAAAAATAAAACGATTTTTAAAAATAAAAATTAATTTTTTTATATAAATCTTTTTTGTCTACAAAATTCAGATTTGAACAAAAATAAAATATAAAAATAAAGATTTTTTTTAATTTAAATATTATATTTTTTGATTTTATTGATAAATAATACGACACTTCTTTTTATCGTATTCTTATGCAAAGAAAGGTATAATGAGGAAGCGTAAAACAGTCTGGCTCGTTGCAAAAAATGTACATTACGTTTATTGATGGTAGCTCGCGAAGCTCCTCGTGAATATCGAGTGATTACAAAGAGGCGCTTGATTTAAAGGGTTCGAGTAATTTACGAAGCAACACGTGATACGGTAGTACACGATCGTTCCGTAAGGACTCAAAAATTGTGTCCTTTGTTTGTTGCATTTTTTTTTCCATTCCTTTTTTTCTTTTTTTTTTTTTTTTTTTTTAACTAAGGAAAAAGTCCGCTACGGACTATAGAAATTGCTATGATGTCTATATCGTTTTTCGATCTCGCGTTTGTCCTCTCTTCAATTATTAATTATTCATTCCTCCCTCGTCTCAATCGAAGAGATAAGAAGGAATGAAAAACGAAATAATATTGGATAACGGGAGATGAATACACGAAATATTAATATTTTCATCCGATTGATACAGGCAAAATGCTCTAAGGTAAGGACAGCGACCGTTTATATTAGTACTCTGTGTGTGTATGTGTGTGTGTGTGTGTGTGTGTGTGGTAATATTATATATATATATATAATATATATTTCAACGTACAAACTATATTGTACCTTAATAACCTCTAAACGCAATGGGTACAAGGATAATATTTACACAGCCTAGAACCACTTGACACGGTCCAGGATTACGCGATATACCATTTTTTCAAAGAGGTCCAAAGATTTGACGATCAGTCTAAACCTAACCTCCTTGTTCTAAATTGAACGCGATAATACGCAATCATTTAACGGTGTGACAAGTATTTTTTCACGTTCCTATCAACTAGTTATCAACATTTATACATAATACAACCAGGTTCCTCGCACGCACGCACTCTCAGCCCCACTCGTAGGATTGCGTAACGTTTTCTCTTTTTGTTTCGTTCGATTCTCTCGTAACATAACCCCATTTTAGCGGATAGTCCGTTAATCCGTGTATTAACGTGAATATCAAACAAATTATCGCTCAAATCTATCGTGATATATCAATCATCAATGAAAAATACTTTCTTTATAATGAAACGTTTTTGTGGAAAAAACTCTCAATCGCTCTCTTTCTCTCACTCAATAGTATATAGCTCGGTAAAAATACCCTGAAGATGTACAGATTATTAAATAGACGATTACATAATAAATGAATGAACAGTCAAGAGTGAAAAATATGATTTCGATTTGTACTTGAAAATGATACGAAGACATTTCGTAAGTAGATAGTGTAATCGAAAAAAAAAAAAAATACTTACTACGTAATACAATACATAAAATAACGGGGTTTTTTTTTTTTTTTGTTTTTTTTTAGTTCAAATTCGATAAAAATTTCTTGACGCTGCACATTCCTACTGTGATCGGGGTGCACCGCTGTGTTTCTAGATCTTTTACGTACAAAGAAGCGTTTTTTTGCGCGCGGATTCTCAAATTTGTGTGTACATTTTGTGTATATAGTTCAACATCTTGAGAATCTCACTGTTCAGCTATTATTTAAATAAAATACCGGTGAACACTGATATATGATTATGTAAAGTGACAACGCGCAATCGTTATTCTTATCACGGACGTTTCTTTGTGCGTAAAAGTGCAAAAGGACGCAAGGTGACATGGCACGATACCTTAATCATTAAAAAAAACAAAAAAAGAAAAGAGAAGGAGGAAACGGATCGATAAAACCGTGCTTAACCTTTAAAACTTGAAACGTTTTACATTTTCTTCTCATTGTGAATAATCAAATAATTATTGATTCTTTACTAACTGTGTTACAACGAGTTACAAAAGAAAATTTATAATCAAATACTTTTGTATTAACAAACATTAAAATTGTGTTTGCAAATACGAGTACAATAACTGTCAGAAATGTAAGACGTGTCAAAAAAAAAAAGATTTCTAATATCGCCTGGTTCTACACCTATTTACATGGCGCCTGTAAATGGACGCCCGGAATCTGGGATAATTATAATTTGTGAATTACGCACGCTAACGAGGTTATCGTCGATAAATCGCAATTGTTCGCCGATAAAACGACTTTCAACTACGAGGCTCGTATTTTTATTTAATTAATGACTTCGTATTTACTATAGACACGCTTTGTGCGATTATATTTTTTTATTCAAACATATTATACTTAAAAGATTTATATCTTAAATAGACTCAAAATATAATAATATAATTATATATATTACAGAAAAATATTATACAAAATATTTATTCATTCTAAAAATAGGCCTTGATTTTATTTTTATTTTATATATTAAAAGAAATTGTTGTTGATGATGCAATTCAAACTGAAATCTTGAATAAATTGAATTACATTGTTATAGTGTATAAATAAAAAAAAATAAGATTATGATATGTAGAGCAACGACGATACGTGTCTACTTTCATACGAAGTTTAATACGAGCCTTTAACACAAAAAAAATTGACAAATTTGTTTCATTTTAATCGCAATGTGTTTCTCTCTGCAACAATCAGTGCTCTTGGAACAGGGCACATCTTGTAGTTATATGCGTTATATTAAAATAAGAATATAAAATTATAAAACTATCAACAAATGTACATATCAATAGAAAAAGTCTCAAAAATAATAAAATTCCAAGAAACGAGAAAGGAAACGATAGGACTTTCGACTTTCAGGTTTGAATTGGAATTTTGATCTTTTCTCTAATTCTTAGACAAAAAAAAAATAGAATTGTAAGAAATTATGGATAGGCCAATGATAATTTATACATTCTCAATATTTTACTCGTTGTAATCTGAATTCATTCGTTTCTTTTTTTCTTAATTTGAGAATCAATAATTCTGTTTTAATTACGAGAGAATACAAGAGGAATGTAATCTATAAGAGATAAAAAGAATCGATTATCGAAATTGTTATATAATTGAAATTTCAGTTACGAAAATTAAATGAAAATTTTAGTTAATGAATAAAATAAAACGCAAAGATAATTTTCATTGATCATTCGAATATTTTGAAAAAAGTATAACTTTGTAAAAAATAAAATTTGATCATAGATTCGATTGATTCTAACCTAAAAGTCGATTATTATCATTGTTGATTTATATAGATTGAGCTTTAGTCAAACAGACCAGTTTCACGAATAGAATGCATTTGTGCATAAAAGATAAGAAGAAAAGGAGAAAAAAGTTAGCGCATATGTAAATTTTTGGCGCATATATTCACCGATATTTATAGTTCGAGGGTAACTTTTCCATATAGACTAAACTTTGAAATTGCAGAGTAAGACGCATCGATACTATCTACTTCGATTGTATATTTTATGCTTTGAATGCTTTGTGCTATCGTATTCCTTGTTTTTCATTTTAAATGTTATCCAAAAGACTTTGTTCTAAATAGTTTCACTTTCTATATCATCGTTTGTATAAACGATCTAAAACCCTGAGATGCGAATTCGCCTTACTGTTGTCCTAGTCTCTTTTTTTTTTTTTTATGGAAAAATTGGCCAAGTAATCGGGTTTCCAGATGGTTTTTAAAGTATACCCTCCTCTCTCAGCACGTAATAAATTATCTTCTAATTTCACAAAGTTAAAAATATATTATTCTATGTACTTTTTTTTTTCCAAGATGAAAAAAAAAGAAAAATATTTTTATGGACGTTAATATAAAAAAGAAGTACATTGGAATAAATATCATAGCGTTCATTTCAAATTTATTACGTGCTGTAGAATATAATATAAATATTTTAAAACGTATAAAAAGTGCGATGTTGTGCGCAACGCAGCTAAATACAATTAAACTTCTTGCAAATTTGAAATCACTCGGTCATATTTTCAAATCGATTCATATGAAAATCGTTGTAAGATACCAACAACATAGAAATTTGTTTGAACGAAATGTATAATAATAAAAATTAGTTAGTCAGAGCGATAGCGAACTGCAAATATGCTTTTTCAGCAACAATATATTAGAAAAAATGTCAATAGTTAAAACTTTTTACTTTTTAAAACGTTACAATAGTATGATTATGTTAACTAACCATTACTTTACGTAGTAAAAAATTGTTAAGCTACACGACTCTACAATAAAGTGTATCAAATTCATTTACTTTTTCTAATAGACATAGTTATATATACCTGTATGTAGTTTGTGGAATAATTATTCACATTTTCATAAAGTGTAATTTCTTAATGAAATATACTTGTTAAAGTTTCGCTTCTGTTAAAATAACATTTTCCATTTTTCATCTTGTAAAAAAGCTCACTACCGTTCTGATGTCGTTGATAAATAATGAATGATATTCGTCATTTTAACATTCAGATAATACAATGTATAAAAGCACGATTTTAGCGAAAACTTGTCCGTGGCAGTCTGAAGTTTTAAGATACTGAAAATTAATTTCATGTGTAGTGAATCAAAGCAATATTAGCACACATTCTTTTCTTGAAATATTTTTATACATTGCAATGATATATTAATACAAATGTATATTTATTATTTCTTAATACATGGAACTAACATATTCTTTCAAATCTTTCAACTACGTTGAAGAAAATAAAAAAACAAAAACAAATTTCTTATAATTAAGAAAAATATTGGCACACTTATAACTATTCATAATTATTTGCATATATATTTTGGAAAAATATCATTACATGCTACTAATATCAAAAACGTGTGTTCAAATATCAAAATACGAACGAACATTTTTGTTTTGTAAAAAAACAATTTAAATAATTATGAATTTTATATATATATTAGAAGATATTGAAGAATATATTTTGTATTAATATGTACTTTCGTTTGTGATAATATTTAAAAAAAAAAAAGAAGACGTGCAAATATTTTGTTGATTCACTATACTTTCCTTTTTTTTTTTTTGGCTTTAAAATCGTTAATATTGTATGTGCAATTATGTAACTCTCGTTACTCTTTTTAAGTCTTTTAATAATGCTTCGAATGTCGTCTCAAGATTATCGTTATTTGAAGCAGGATTCTTCATTGGTGACTTTTTATGAATAAATTGTTTGTCAGAATATATAAAGCGGTTTTTTTATATCGTCCCTGTTTCTCAATTATATATATCTAATAGTTGTTCATATAATGATTATTTCTAACACAGAAAGGAATACTTTCTGTTACTAATGATAAGGATTGGTAACCGAGTGTTGAAAATTTCGAAGTATTACAATCTTTCTTACTCTTCTTTAACACATTAACGAGATAAAAAAATTTAAATATACGCGTTCTTCTTACAAAAGAAGAATATAAATTGTTTAGGGACGACGTTCGCTTTAAAAATACGTTGAGTCCTTGTAATATATTCCAGTTTCTCCATAGGAAAGTCGACCTCCATGAGAAAGAATAAAAATTTGAAATGCAGCTTGTGATTTCGAATCGCGAGTATCTACGTGTCGACATGGGAGTAAAAACATGACTGGAAATTACGATACCAGTCTTTTTTCGTTCAATAGATAATGCATTTTCTGCGTTTTCTGCTCACATGTTATATGCCACGTAGATTGGATCGAGTTGGTCCGCTAGAAAACCATCACGCAAGTGCATTCGTTGCTTCTCACCACGCGAATTTATTGGAACGACTCCAGGATCCACCACGACCACTACACCGACTACCAAATGATGTTCTTCTAGAACAGCGCTGGTAACCAATGCCACGAGATCTAAAGCTTCGCTTTCACTTCCATCAAGTTCCACCACTACTACTAGGAGGTTGGTCCATGTAAATACAGCACTGTGAATTGTATAAATATTTTA